ATTTATTCATTGGTCTGGTTACTGGGACCAAACACAAAGGCATGGATTTAATGTAAAAATTATGAAAAAATGTTAGTGTCTTCTTCAAAAGCGAATATCTCCAAAAAAATAAAGCCTTTGAGATAAACCAGAAAATAAACTATCGAGAAAAGATGCACCTAGATAATAAAATGATTTTCAAATACCTTGCTTTTTTAACATATTCCACAGGGCGTTCCATACTTTCACCAAAATAACAACTTTTTAATCCCTCGTATAATTGACAGATGGAAACTTTTGTTTTTAATTTAAAAAGAGGTAATAAAAAGTCAAATAATTTAGCTCCAAACTGCTTAAAAGATCATAATCCGTCAACTAAAACAATATACAGGGTGGTCCGAATTGTATTCCGGAAACTTCGGCACCATATTCTGCAGATAAAAATAAGTAAAAAAGTTCGTATAAATGTACGTCCTAAAATACTTAGTTTCGGAGATACATGGTGAAATAAAAACACTAAATCACCACAATACACCAAAACACTTTTACTTTTACACTGGACGCGCGTTTCGCTAACCAAGTTAGCATCATCAGCAGATGATTATAGACTAATTTTGCTGTGCAACACCAAAGGTTCCAACCCTCAACTGTAATGATACATGGTGTACAAATTTCATTTTTATTTCGATTTTTTTCAAATAATTTCTTAAAAATCTTCTCAAAATATATCTTCTCAAATATATTTCTTCTCAAAAATATTTCATATTTTCAAAGAATCTTCTCAAAAATATTTGGATGCAAATTGATGTCTGGAAGTTTTTTGACATGAGAAATTTGATTTTGATGTCATTATGACTCCTACTTGTAGAGGACGCCACCTACATATTTTTTAACTGCTTTTAAGAGTAATAACTTTTCGTCCGTACCTGTATAAAACTAGTGAGTTAAAAAATATACATTTACAACATTTTTTACGTAAAAAAGGTCTTTTGGTAAAAATCGCAACGAGTAATGGTTCTCGAGATATTTGGAATCGAGATTATCAATACCTGTCATCATTGACATAAATTAAACATGTTGACTAAATAGTTATTAAACTGAAATCATAAATTTGAAAGGTTTTTGTGCCAAAAGTTCAACAGAAACTGTTTTATTATCATTTTTTTCGAAGAAAAACTAATGATTAGTTTAAGAAAATAAGAAGTGTCTAAATTTCTCATTTCAATCCTATAACTATCTACTCAACATGTTTATTTTTAGTCAATAATGACATGTATTGACTATTTCCATTTTAAATATCTTGAGAACGGTTACTCGTAGCGATTTTTACCAAGAGACATTTTTACGTAGAAAATCAAGGAAATGTATATTTTTTTTACTCAGTAGTTTTATACAGGTACAGACAAAAAGTTATTAGTCTTCAAAACAATTAAAACACATGTAAGAGGCGCCCCCTGCAAGTGGGAGTCATATTGATATCAAAATCAAATTTCTCGCGTCAAAAAACTCTCAGACACCAATTTTCGTCCAAATATTGACGTTACTTCAGAAATTATTTGCAAAAAATCGAAATAAAAATTAAACTTCTACACCCTGTATCTCCGAAACTAAGCCTTTTAGGACATACATTTATATGAACTTTTTTACTTATTTTTATCAGTAAAATATACTGCCCAAGTTTCCGGAATACAGTTCGGACCACCCTGTATATAAATTTTTAAAATCCATCAAAATTTTAAGGTGGTGGTTTTTCCTGTCGGTGAGTATTTTTGAAAACTGGAGTCCTATACTCCATTTTATTCCTTATCAAAAGAACTGCCAAATTTCATTATATTGATTAAAACCTTAATTTGATTTGTTCTCTTATGCACGATACTACCGTATGATCGAAAAAAAACGGCGTCCAGTTGGCTTGGAAATGACGATCGATGACAGTTCCCATATAATTTTACATATAAAATGACAGCGATCTTCATTTCATAGCTATCGCTGACGCCGTTTTTATTCGATCATACGGTATAAAGCTACTTAACTTAATCTTAATATAGTATAACTTTTAGGATTGATGTTTCCGTCAAAAAAAAAATTCAGAGATATATATAATATATCCTACATAAAATATAACATATTCGTATTCCCATCAACAAACAACCGTATCAAGAAAATGGTTTAAAGTGTTTGATGTCATGTCATTTCGATGTTTTATAAGGTTATAGGAGGGTGTTCTTTCTTATTATAGACTGTTACAAGGACGAATTGACGTTTATTAGTACCTTCCACGACTTCCATGCTACTAAACTTGGTTATCAACAAAATAAATGTTGTCATAAGTGTAATATAACTCATAACATATACAGAGGGTTATTCACCTCATTTAAAAAAATACAACTTTAATATTTTTTATTTATTTTGGGACACTTTGTACCTTTTTAAAATAATTTTAAATCGTAGCTTTATTAAATAAAATAAATAAATACTACATTGTAGTCTTCCAATGATTCCATCACTCACAATTTCTAAAAATCTAATCATTTGGCTACAGTACTCCGTGTCGAATGAAGTGAATAACACTGTATTATAGCTTTGAAGTCTTATAAACCCTAAGCCCGTGGTTACATTGGATGCGTATCCGTGCGTTTCTTTGGTCGTACGTGCGCGGACGTGCACGCAGTAAAAAACAAACAAATGCTAACTACGCAGGCGGTTACATTGCATCGGAGTTTGCGCGTCCGTGCACGTACGTCAATTTCCGTTGGTCGGATGAAAACAAACTGGTTTGTTTTTTTAATACGTGCACGTCCGAGCGTTCGAATTTTTATATCTCTGGGCCCAATACATTCCCGAAAAATTTGAATATTTTTGAATACCAGGCTAATTTTTATTTAGGATATATTAATGTTGCTGGAAACATTCTAAAATATTCAAAAAAATTGACCGGTTGCTGTTTTAATTCACCAAATATTTTACATATTCATTTTCTTCCCCTTTTCTTGCATATAAATCATTTACCCAACATTTTCTTCTGTTCATAAGCATATATGATTATTATATTTTAGCATTAAATACTCAGACAGCATCAAAGTAGTGGCGTCCGTTTTGACAAATTCGACACACGGAACACCATGAACGCGCATCTAATGTAACCACTAAAATAAAATAGTCGTGCGAGTAAATTCCGTTAGAGCCCGCACGTATAAAAATACGCACGGACCCGCGTCGAATGTAACCGCGGGCTAAGCCCGTGGAGCTTGTTGAAATTTGCTAAGGTTGTGCAAATTATTAAGTATTAAACCCAAAGTATTAAACCACGCGCCCCCCTCTGCTTATTTAATAGAATCAGTGGTTTTAGTTACTAACAGAAATATTAAACATTCTTCCAAGTTAACATAACTCATTGCACCAATTATACCATCTCTTATAAAGCCACTATAGAAAATTCATATTGCTCATTCCTTCTCTATGTAAAGTATTCAAAGCTCGTCACAAATAGAAAAACACTGTTTAATAAAACGTATAAAACTATTCCGCTTATGCCGTTTGCCATTTTAGGAACAGAAGTTTAGCTCAGCTTGCGTCGTAGACTGTACAGCGTGTATGCTGCTTATATATTCCTTTTTTTACTCTTTGGCGTTTACGCGGTTTTAAAAACTGGCGACATTATCTACGCCATTTGCATATTGCAAGACTGGACGTCTGGTAGTAGGTACCTGCAGTAACCACTTCTGGTTTGGTACCTAGAACCCTGTCTCCGATAGCAAGATTATAGATTTAAAGATATGCTAAATAATTCCAAACCTGTTAGAGATTTTTTTCCAGATAAGTGGAAAGCAAGTACAAAATATATTCTCCCGCATCATACTTGCGCTTATAACAAGTGACATTCTTAGTCAAATATATAGGTGCACATTCATTTTCAATGAATAAGCAGAAACATTTAATGATTTAATTTGTGGATCTTTAAATAATTTGATATAATAACTATTTATAAATTAGTAAGTTTGTGGTTAATAATTTTGACTTATACAGGATGAGTCTTAAATAAGTATAAATATTTTCAGGGGTGGTATATTTCGATCCCAGGAACACGTCTATGAGGTTTTTTTTCGTTAAAAAAGATGTTGAAAATCGTGCATTTTTTTTAAATTTCCCTGTATGTTTTTCGAAAACTTTTTAGAATTTCCTTTTCACCGCAAATCTTCCCAAGGTATAATTTCTTAATCTCTGATATTACCATAGTTACGGCTTTACTCTATGGTTACGGTAATAAAAGAGATGCAAATACAGAAAAAAATCCGGTGGCTCTTCATGGTGTCCTGCGTGTCGAGTTTGTCAAAACAAGCGCCACTACTTTGATGCTGTGTGAGAATATAATGTTAAAATAACTACTCATGAAAAGAAGAAAATGTTCGGTAAATAATTTATATGCAAGAAGAGGAGAATAAAATGAATATGTAAAATATTTCGTGAATTAAGACAGCAACCGGTCAAATTTTTTGAATATCTTAGGATTTCTCCATCAACATTTATATATCCCAAATAAAATTAAACCTGGTATTCAAAAATAGTCAAAATTTTCGGGAATGTATTGGGGATCAAAAAATAAAAATTCGAACGCTTGGACGTGCACGTATAAAAGAAACAAACCAGTTTGTTTTCATCCGACCAACGGAAATTGACGTACGTGCACGGACGCGCAAACTCCGATGCAATGTAACCGTCTGCGTAGATACCATTTGCTTGTTTTTAGCTGCGTGCACGTCCGTTCACGTACGACCAAAAGAACGTACGGACACGCATCCAATGTAACCACGAGCTTATAAGGGATTAACCAGGAGGACTAGGAGGAGTATTAAAATATTATATTGACGTAACACTTAACACTACTAATATAATAAAAATAATGTGTTATCTACACATTCAAACAATTTTTTTAAACTTAAACATCGTCAGCCTTATATTTCCAGCATTTTTCAGTTACTACAACTAATAATAATCTTACTTATATATTTAATTTTTTTCAGGATATTCCGCTTCATGTCACGATGCTGACCTACGTTTGCTTGGCCTGGGATCGACGTAGATATCTGAGGAATCCAAATAAACCACGCCTACCAGCTTTTGTGTGCACCATTGGAACTTGGCTCACTTCCTTATGTTTGGTCCTTCCTTATCCCATATACATAACTCACATCGATCTGGGAGTAAGTGTTATGTATATTAATATAAGTTTTTAAAAATTATTTTTCAGTTATACTTTTGTGAGCGGTTTGACGAGATTGATATGGATAAGTCAGTTGAACCGTTTTGGTATTCTTAATTTATTTATCTAAACGAAGCCGACAGTGCTGAAATTAAGAGCCCCAAACTAGTCTCTAACTGACTTTGAAAATATTCCAACTTTAGTTGATTAAAATCAGTTTATTCTGAGATATCAATATTTAAATTTAACAGTGTTTAATCTTTCCCACTACGTTATTTTTGACAATTGATAGAAATGGCGTAGCGTAGGTAGTGATGTAAAATTACCGGTAATTTATAAAAAACAAGTTCTTAAATAATATTTTTTTTTAATATCAAAACTATAAAAAGTAATATAAACTAAAAACTTTCAAAACTATAAAAACTAATATACAAAAAAATTCAAAACTATAAATACTAATATAAAAATTAATAATATTATTTTTTTATTTCAAAACTATACAAACATTACCTATACAAAAAAAAGACAAGGACGTTTTCAAGCTAGTCAGAGACTAATAGAGTGGATAATGGTAAATCATTCTCAATCTTGTCTTTTTCTGGTTCTTCTTATCTCTCTGTGTGTCTTTGGTATCGTGCGAAGTTCTATTAATTGTTTTGTTGTAGGTATGCAATTAATTTTATATATAAAGTCAAACGAACAACTGAAGACTTGAAGTAAATAATGTTCTAAGTGCCAAAATCATTATTTTGAGATAAACATCATTTGTTGATATATAACTTGTATCTGGATCTGTATATAACAGTGTATCTTTTGAGACTTTTTTTCAATACAATTAATAATTAATAGCCGTAGCGTATAACAGCACTTCTTAGCGCTTTATACCTGTTATTGGTTATGGAACTTAGGACATTTTACAAATAAAACATGACGTTCCGATTTTTTGGCACTTAGAACATTATTTACTTCAAGTCTTCAACTGTCTTTGACAAAGTTAATTTTTAACTTGTTAGAATGTTTATTTGTTATTTAGTTTTGTATCTGTATTTTATTGTATATCTTTTATTTGCTTTTACACATTTATATAAGTTTTGTTATTTATATCTATTTTTAAGGTATGATGATGGCTGGAATTGCTGAAACCGGTCACCAATAAAGAATTTTTTTGACAGCGATTTGGACGTTGTTCTTGAATTTAACATTAAGTTTTTTTGGTTCTTCTCTTGCGTTAATTGAGTCAAATCTTTTACACTTCGAAATCGATAACTCTTTCTTTCTCAGCAGCCTCTACCATTCTCGGATGTTCTTCTCCATTTAGTAATTTATAATAGTGGGCAATATAAGTAAGTTTCTGGCTTTTCCACGGTATGTTTGTTTCTTCTTAGCCGATCGACAAATTGATAAGTAGTACTAAAGGTTCTTGCGGTTCCGGCTCTTTACGATGACAAATTTAAATTGTATGTGGCCAACATTCTTATTCTAGAGCTGGAACAAATTCCTATCCACCAGACAAGTCCATACAGATTTTTCGCTGAACGAATTCTTTAGCAAAAATATTACCTCTAATTTTGTATTGTACCAGTCAGTGCTTCTATAACGAGATCTAATTGTGAAAAATACTTTGGATGACGCCGTACAGTTTCATAGATGACCTCCGTTGAATTGCATATATTTTCTTGTTTTCCGACCTAGCAACGGAAAAGCTTCGAAAATTGTTATCCACTTAGAAATTGATTATAAGTTGTTTGTATTTGTAGCCAAAATTCCTTTCGAAGCAGAGGATTGGGTTGTTTTGGTGATTGAAAGAACATCAGAAATATCGGGGCTATCATCAACTGCTAAGATTTTTAATGAATGTTTAGTAACCAAAAAGGCTTTTTGACAAGAATCAAAGCAGCCTCATCTTGTTTTCACCAAAACAAGGAAAAGAGTAGAGCGGAAAAAAGAAATATTTCCAATGTTCCCGATCTTGCGGTAATATTACGTAATATTACCAAAATTACCGGTAATATTACCGCGGTAATATTACCCTTTACATAACTATGCGAAGGTAATTGGTTGAATATATACATAGCTTATATTTTAAATATACCTTTATTGGGATATTTTAAAAGAAATTAGTGGGTATTTTTACCTTTGCTAAAAAGCTACACCAGCTAACTGCCAACTTTTGAACTTGATAATAATTTACTAAAATTTGTCATAATCTCAATTTAATTATATTTTTTTCTTTAAACTCTTTCATTAATTGTTCTGAGTACAGCCGACATCATCTATCATTGGACCACCCTGTATAATTCATTGTAACCTGGTGTAAGTGTGATTAATGTGTCATTTCTTTATTACCTGAAACCTGCAATTTATCACTGAATAGGCAATATCATTAAATGTATGAATGGCTGCATCGCAAAATATAATTGCGGTAGTTTCTCATTGTCTAGTTTCTGATGACTAATAAATTTTGATGCAAGAAATATATAGCAACATCTCTGCATGATTCTCATTTAGTTACCTTTTACACTAAGTCAAATATTCAATGAAATATTACAAGTATTATTTTCTAAGAAGCGTATGTATACAGGGTCCGGCAATAGTGCGTCGGGCATCTGTAGCTCCTAGAATAAAAAAACTTGAGAATTTTGTTTAAGTGCAAACCTAAAGTATGTACCAGGATGTATTTCAGGAAAATATTTTAACTTCTATAGGGTGGCTCAAAAAAGTGTGAGTGGACCTAGATGATTTTTTTTTTAAATGGAACACCCTGTATATTTTTGCATTTTGGCTTCCTTTCGGATCACTTTACATGACCTTATGATATGAATAAATATATTTCGATAGTTTCAGAGATATTAAAAATAAATCAAAAATATATATTTTTCAGCCCTTCTTAAAAAATTATTAAAAATACAAGAACTGTTCTGAAATCAAAACTATGTTAGGTATTTACTTTAGATAGTCTGTTCTTACTTTGCTATAAATATGGTAATCGTAAATGTTCATACAGGATGTTCAATATTCTACGCCAAACTTTCTAAAATATAAAATATTTTTTCTTTGTTATTTTAAATGGAACACCCTGTATATTATTTTTTTATTAGACGGAGAATTAAAAAATGAACATTTTTTGCATTTACAGTATTTCAAAATTTTTAACAGTTTCGCAGATATTTGCGGTTTTATATTTCATATGGCATTTTCCACAGTAAAATTTTATCAAAGCCACCCAATGATTTATCTCTCGTATTTTACCAATGAAAGCGCCATATGAAATAATACTGCGTGTATCTGCGAAACCGTTAAGAATTTTGAAATACTCTAAATAGAAAAATGTTCACTTTTTAACTCTCCATCTAATAAAAAAATAATATACAGGGTGTTCCATTTAAAAAAAAGAAAAAATTATTTTATATTTTAGAAAGTTTGGCGTAGAATTTTGAACATCCTGTATAATTTACGATATTCTACATATTTATAGCAAAGGGCTGAAAAATATATATGTTTTATTTATTTTTAATATCAGTTCTGAGTTCTTATATTCTAACATTTTTAAGAAGGGCTGAAAAATATATATGTTTTATTATTTTTAATATCTCTGAAACTATCGAAATATATTTATTTATATCTTAGGTGTATGTAAAGTGATCTGAAAGGAATTCAAAAATGCAATAATATACAGGGTGTTCCATTTAAAAAAAATCATCCACGTCCACTCACACTTTTTTGAGCCACCATTTAGAAGTTAAAATATTTTCCGGAAATACATCCTGGTACATACTTTAGGTTTGCACTAAAACAAAATTCTCAAGTATTTTATTCTATGAGCTACAGATGCCCGACGCACTATTGCCGGACCCTGTATATTGTTTATAAATTCAGGCACCCCTTTGTAGTATCTAAATTACGCCTACGAAATTAATTGACTGTGTTCCGTTTCATATATTGATTATTGACTTTTAGTTCCATTTCTATGTTTTGCTTGAACTTTTTATTATTACGAAATACGGATCCTGAAAAATGTCCGTCATTATTGTCACCCAATTAACCAACGCAAAGACTGGTTTCTCCAGTTTGTTTGTCAATTAGGTGGCATTTAATTTCTTTTTTGTTGAAAAACACATTTGAGTTGTCTGACAAGTTAAATAGATCTTTTACAAATTATTTTTCGATATGAAACCAAATCGAAACGATGAATAAAGCATGAAATTTTTATGATACTGGTCCGTGTTTTACCGATATTTTTCAGGAATCTATATAACTTTAAGGTAAGGATTCCTCAGTACTTCACACCAACCTAGTTAACAAGTTTGTCATGTGTCAACTGTCGAATATTTAAAAAGTGGAGCAAAATGACCCATCACACATCACATCATCTAAAAGTGCCAATTTTCATAAAAATACTGGGGATTTCATAAATAATATTATTTATTTAGTCCGAGGACATTAATATATTGATTTTATTCATCTTCTTTCTGATAATTTTTCGGACGCGGTTTTTGAAAAGATCCAAAATTGACTAAACTATCTTCTAACCTATTAAAAATGGCTGGGTTTCGTTGCTCGCTCTCTGGATACCGAAATATAAATCAGCTGCCATTTCCTTATGTTTGTTAGACTCAATATAACATTCTAACATATTATATTTCTCAAAATTTTCAAATTTACTAATTTTTTTTATTATTTAAATTACACACACTTCAATCTGTTGAAATGAAATGTCCCGCATCCATCAAAGGTATGTTCCGATCACCATGACAACCGTTTACTTTGTTACTCGGCGCGGCCTACTATCTACTAAGTGGATAATTTAAGAAAAATTTGAAATGTTGAGGTTAATAGTGAAAATAAATATAGAGTGTTATATATTTTCGAGAATCCTATGCCAAGCTGAATAAGGAAATTTAAAAATATAAAAGGGGTTCTACTTAAAAAAATATAAGTATAGTTAATATCTCAAAAAATATTTTTCTCGAAAAAAGTCTGACTACGCTACTGCATTCTACACAGGAAAGTGTCTTTAGAATGTATAGTTAATTTTTCCGTGGTTGCTGAAATAAACAAACTATCGAACATCTTCAAAAAGTACAAAATTTGAGAATCCCCCTGTAGCTTCGAAACCGATCAAGATAGCCACGATCCGTTTGCGCCATTGTAATTTTTTCAAAAAAAGAACCCGAGACTGCAATATCAAAATTTGAATATTTCTCACGGTTTCCTAGATACCCTATAGAAACCACCAAAATGGTCCACCCTGTACAGTACACCGAAACACGTATTGCGATGAATTAGTATTTTATGTTCTCCAAAAAAAGTCCTTTGGGTATTTTTTAGAAAATCTACAAAATAAAATAAAAAAAAATAAAAAAAACCACAAAGGATTTTTTTGGAAAAATAAAATAGTTATTTTTTAGTAAACACTGCTGTGTTAATCCAACGGAGACTAATAACTGTCAGCAGCGGTTCACTAATAAACAAATTTGCCTAACGGACAAAAAAATACTATGAGATTAGTTGTTTTTAGAACAAATTCTTAATTGTAGCAAGACTAAGTAATGAAATAAACAAATATTTGTCTTTTTCTTACAAAGAAAAGAACTAATTTGTACTATTTTGCAATTTTCTTATTAATTAAGATATATAAACAATAAGTTTAGATTAATGTTTTAAATAGCAGTTGCTGCAGAACATTGACTTTATTGAGTTTAATACATTTTCTAATGCCGTTTTCAGTGATTTTCAAATTATCCTTCGATAAATTGCTTCTTCCGTTATTTAAGGCATTACTAAAATAACTGGAAATTTTCTTCCCCCGAGCAGTAAAAATTCTATTTACTAGTTCATTATATTTCAATCGATTTATCTTTCAACCCACAACAGCAAATTTTATCGATAGGGGTGGTGTGAAGATTACAAGTTTTATATTTTTATTATATTTTTTAAAGAACAATAAAAAATTGCATATTTAAATAATAAACGATTTTATGAAATAAAATATCTATTTGGACTGCTATTGTCTTTAATTTAGAAATTTTACAGCGTCGTTTCCACTTTAGTCCAAGAGTTGGGAGTAAAGTGAACTGCCTGATAAGTTAAGACGACACTACACGATGTGTCCAACGTTGGAACCAACATTTGATACAGTTTTCGACGATATTGCAATTGGCAAATGTGTCTCCTACACGATGCTTCCAACGTTGGTTCCAACGTTGGTTTGGTTGCGAAAAAATGATGAAGGAGCGAAAATCGATAATGGAAAATAAAAGGAGCAAACGGGAGCCTAAAGCCCCAATTTCCAGCCGAGAACTAGAGTCTTTTTCATATTGGTACCACGGCTAAGGGTATTGCGGCGGGTTGCTGTTGGCTACCTCCGCGGCTGTTCTGAAAGAAACCCACAATCCTGAGCGAATTTGGTTCTGGGCTGCAAATTGGGGCTTTAGGCTCCCGTTTGCTTCTTTTATTTTCGATCATTGACTTTCGCTTCTTCATCATTTGTTCCATCTCCTGGGTTGCACACGGTGCCTCGTTGCATCGTTTGCTTCCGGATTTTTTGTGTTTTTGGATCGGTTTCATCGCTTTCTGATTCCTAACCGTACTGATGAGGCCTGAAGGCAGTAACATCAGTGTACACTAGTGTAGGTGTGTTTGTGTGAGTGTGCGTGTCTGCACTGGTGTATACGGTTGCGAGTTGTTGAGGGCTGAGCCGTTTAATCTTTTTCCTCTTTTTTATACATTTCCCTCACTATTTACCTGTTTCTTTTTAATACCGGGTGCGTCTCAAAAGTGGTTCACCCCTATAACTTATTTATTTTTTCAGATAAAACAACGAGATTTGGTATGTTAGTATATGACATAAATTGGGATTGATTGACGTATTTAATTGTTTTCGGTCACTTCCGGTTTTACCGGAAATGACTACAACTTTTGATTTTTAAATGGCACCCTCTGTATTTTTTTACTTTATTCGATAGAATATAACACTCTGAATCGAATGACATCATATGTCAACTTTTGACATTTTGGCATATGGTTTATTCGGGTTTATTTCAAATTGTAACATGCGATTCATAACGACAATTTGACTCAAAATACCAAGTGTATGGTATCAAATTATTCGTAAAAAAATGCGTTTTCCAAATATGTTAATGAGCCACCCTCGTTCCATTTGAAAAAATTGAGATATGATTAAAAATATGATTTGGGCATCTTTTAACCGGCCAGGACAAGACACTAAAAATATTAGACGACCAAATCTAATTTTCTAAGGCTTCTTGATTAAAAATTAGTGTTTTACACACAGCCTAGATTCACACTCTAGGTTTAAATTTGAAATTGAATTTGTTTTTTAGTGACTATGTCAAAAATTGACATATGATATGGCATTCGATTCAGAGTGTCATTTTCTATCGAATAAAGTAAAAAAATACCGAGGGTTCCATTTAAAAATCAAAAGTTGTAGTCATTGCCGGTGAAACCGGAAGTGACCGAAAACAATTGAATACGTCAATCAATCCCAATTTATGTCATATATAATATAACATATATATACTAACATACCAAAGCTCGTTGTTTTATCTGAAAAAATAAAAAAGTTATATGGGTGAGCCACTTTTGAGAGGCACCCGGTATATTAAGTGCAGTTAAAAACGGAAAATTTTAGAAGTAATTCTAGTAAAAAGTAAAAACTAATTCACATATCTAATATAAAAAGAAAATTTTGATGAATAAAAAAATAAAAAGTGAATGAATAAAAGGAAATTCAAGTGTTTTCACTAAGTTAATGTAATAACCAAAAACATAAAAAACTTTAATCATAACTTTGCACAATTTTGTACAGGTATTTTCAATTTTTTCACACGTGCGCGGGGAAAGTTATTAACATGTGTTAGTGGCGGGTTGGGGCAACTTAACGCTAGCCCCCCTCCCACTATTTTTTTCAAAACTTTTATTATGTTAATTCGAATCATGATTTTTGCAAAATTTTGCACAGCCTATGCCGATTTTTGCACAACTCCCACTTAGAAGAAATAGGGCTTAGAGAAAGGGGTGATAGCCCCCCCCGATTTGACAAAATGTCGGTAGTCCCCCCCCCCTCACTAAACTTTTTGCAACTTTTAATATACCAATCGAAAGCGTGATTTTTGCGCAATCTGTTCTGTACCAGAGGTTTGATGCTGGAATTGCAATGGCGTAGCACTCGGCGTAGCATTAACTATTATAAAACCGCTCATCTGCCAAGTCTTCCCGGTCACCGTTGCGATATACCGGGTGTCCCATTTTAATTGTTGTTTTATTATATCCAATTATACACTAAAAATTTTATAACCTAAGGCGGTCTCCTGTATTTTTATGCTTGTTATCTAATGAGGCACTGGGTAGGTATTAAATTTCATTTATTAATATTTTCCTTCGTTGTTTTGCAGGTTTTCCTTAAGTCGCCCGAATACGAAGGAGTAAGCATATGCATCGTAAATCTGGCAGATGATATGAAGGAGTACATGAGAGGAACATTCCTTGTAACGTAAGTATATCAATTTTTCGTAGAAAATAAAAATACCTTTAAAGAATATCAAACACTGAAAGCAAGCTATTTTGCTGATAAAGAAAGCTACCTACTTTGAAAATGTAACGAGTTTGATTTTAATCTCAATTTTATAATTTATAATTAATTTTAATTTCTTTGCTTTACAAAAAAGTTCTTTACAATGACACGTTATCTTTGGATCTATCTCCTAATTTTATATAAATGTTTATATTATATTATACAGTTGAGGCTTGCAACAGAAAAAAATAAATTCATTCTCCACAAAAAAATAAAACATTTTATTTATACACTGGACGCGCGATTTGCTAACCATGCATCATCAGCAGATGAATAAAACTAAATTAATATCTACAAATTGAGCGTTTGTATAGGCGCTCAGATGGTATTGAGCAAGCGTGACAAAACTAAACGAGCTAGTCAAAACCAACCGAGCGTCACAATTAATTACCCAGACTAGATCAATAGGAACACAGGACTGGAAGGATTTGGACCATTATTTTTGTTTATATTATCTTCACATTTATTAATGAGGAAGATGCATATATTTTATTTTTCACCAGAAACTGTTCAATTTATTAGAATAAATATGTGTAAATGCAAAAAAAAACTTTTTTCTTGAAAGCAGTACCACAATTTTATAAAACGGGCCATTAAAATACTATGGACAACGCAAACGACGCCTCGCGAATTGAAACGATATTCTATTGGTCTGACGTCACCCGCCGTTCTCGTCGACGCGCGATGGCCAGCGCAGCAGCCAGACGTGTTCCGTTTTATGTACGTATTTAGGTGGCGTACTAAGACATTTTTGTTGCTTTTAGCGTTGATTGAAGGAGCTTTTTATGCTTTTTTGTGCAGTTATTTTGTATGTGTTGTGTGTTCTGAGAATTTTAAGTAATGGCAGATTCCGGGTTTGTAAAAGCACAATTAGATAACTCTGCCAAAAGTCGATGCTTTATGTTGGCTGCTTTTATAAATACAAATTCCCAATTTATTGGTGCTGAATTACGAGGGAAAAACAGAGAGGTATAACATTTATTCTTTGTAGTAATTGAGGCATATTTAAGTATAAGTAGGTACCTATACTGTTACGAACTTTTATATAGTTATAAATATTAATGTTATAAACTTATTTTTCAGATCAGGTAAGGAGACGTATGGAGATAATGCTGTAGGTTATGTAGAAGTGAAAAGAGACAAAAATATTTGTTTAGTACGTGGAAAAGTAACTCCAGAGCATAGCGTAAAAAAGAAGGTTTTTTATATATTGATACCCCCTTACCTTTGTTATTTTTAAAGATTGTTTTTTTTAAGAAATTATAGGAAACAAATTGTTTATCAGTAATGAAAATATTTTACAAGGTGTCCCATAAGCAAACGCCAAAATTAAGTTACTTTTTTAAGTGAAACACCCTATACATTTTTGGATTCTTCGGAAATTTCTAGATATTCTAGATATATTTCATGTATAATATCCTATAGCTATCTTCAAATGTTTACGAAATATTGACAGTTGAAAAGCGAAAAATACCTACAATTTTGTGGACCACCTTTTTCGAGACACCCTGTATATCTAGAATTAATTTTAAAAGAGAGTATATGAAAAACCATGCAACTTTTTTATTTAATGTTTTCTTCTAAAACTTGCAGTTATGGCTGTATGTGGGTGTCAAAATATAATGAATAACCCTGTACATTCAAATTTCATATACCTATGTAAGACAATATACATAAATATATGAACTTACATCAAAATGATCTTCACAACAATAAATCGTAAAAATAGAGGATAATTTAACGTTTTTCTTTTCATCTCTTCTCATGGCCTTGGACCATTTTTTTCTGTTTTCGCTCATCCATTACTATTTATAAATATCACTAATTCCTAATTATGTATTAATTAACCCAAATAACTAAAATTTTGACTCGGATTCAACAGCGTTTAAAAGCAAACTGTGTAAAATAAACACGCGTCTGGCTCCACTCAACCAGAAGAACGGCGGGTGACGTCACAGCGACAAGGCGCGGTAGAGAGCGTTTGCCCGGCCATTTAAACTAACAATATTTAATTATTTTATATTAGAGGCATTTCTTAACCGATATCAACAATTTTTTTTTGTTCAATTTGTAATTATATGAACTATTTTTTAAAACCATTATTTAAAAACATGCCTTTTCCTCATTCTGACGCTCTCATATGTACATGTATATACATTGTATATACAATAGGTTGAGCAACGCAAGATTTATCCGGTCTACCACATATGACTTAAACCATATGTTTGTTAAATCTACTTAATATTGATATTCTAGCTTGCCCAACATATATTTATAAAATTTTTCTAAATAAATGAACTGTGTTCTTAAAGGAAAACAAGTTTTAGGATTCAAATTTTCCAATAATTTTAGTTGTATTTGATATAAAATATTAAAAAATTAAAACAAAATTTGAAGAAAAAATAAAATTCATTATTTTACATAGATAATATGTCATTCTCTAAATAATAGGTCAAATTTGTTTTGTACAAGAAGGTACAAAAGAGTAATTATAGCAATTAGAATTTTGTTATTAAAAATGATGCATTTGAAAAACAAAATATTCATTAAAACCTTTACAAATTTGATGTTGAAAAAATGAACATCTACAATAAATTTTACTGTAATTTGAGCCAAAAAACACTACCGTGAAATATTTCAAAGTCGAAATAAAAATGTCAGTAAACAACGAACAATATAAACAAAATTAATTATAACTGTATTGTAACCTTTCAGTTAGAATTAATAAATATTTTTCTATATAGTTATTTATTTTTTGAATTTAATTAGTCCATTCTTTTCATTATAATATATTAAAACCTGAAATAAAAGGGCAGGCATATACCGGGTGCGTCTCAAAAGTGACTCACCCTTATAACTTTTTTTATAATTTTTTCAGATAAAAAACGAGATTTGGTATGTGACATATATTAGGATTGATTGACGTATTCAATTCTTTTCGGTCACTTCCTGTTTTACCGGAAATTACTACAACTTTTTATTTTTAAATGGAAAATGACACTCACAATGGAATAGAATGACATATCAAATGTCAACTTTTGACATTTTCGCTTAAAGCAAAATTGTATTTTAAATTTCAATCTAGAGTATCATAACTGTGTTAAAAACTTAATTATATAAATATTTAATCAGGGAGCATTGGAAAAATTTGATTGTTTAATGTTTTTAACGTTTTTAATGTTTTTTAATGTTTTAAATGTTTTTCAATGTTTTTAGTTGTAGACATTTCCGGTGAAACAGGAAGTGACCGAAAACAATTGAATACGTCAATCAATCCTAAATTATGTCATATACTAACATATCAAATCTTGTTCTGTAATCTGAAAAAATAAAAAAGTTATAGGGATGGGCCACTTTTGAGACGCACCCGGTATATATTTTTCTAAAAATAGAATATAATAATAATTTCATACATACTCTACACGCTTTTTTATTGTTCTCTATACTATTCCACATACACGTGTGATATTCATGCAGATCCTATTTTAGTTAAATTTAGACATTTTGAATGTGTCCAGCCAATTAAATACCTAGTCATCAAGAGAGACCAAACAGCGTATTTGAACGGCATCATAAATATTCCTGGAATTTCACATTTCCACCACAAACAGCTGCTATAGCATATGAAGATTTTCATTTTCGCGTTTTTGGTACGAAAATAGCATTTGCCTACAACATGATATAAATTTGATTTGACGTTTGAAATTTGGATTTATATCTTGAAAAAGGTCTGGATACTTCGTTATTGCATGAGAAATCTAAAAAACAAAATTATTTTTAGTAAAATGCCACTGCATTAGAATCCAAACTGAAACCAGCTTATATTAGGTAACTGTCATCATGTACAGGGTGGACCATTTTGGTTGTTTCTATAGGGTATCTAGGAAACCGTAAGAAATATTCAAATTTTGATACTGCAGTCTCGAGTTCTTTTTTGAAAAAGTCACAAGGCCCAAACGGAGCGTGGCTATCTTGATCGGTTTCAAAGCTACAGGGGGATTCTCAAATTTTGTACTTTTTGAAGATGTTTGCTAGTTTGTTTATTTCAGCAACTACGCAAAAATGAATCATATATTCTAAATGCACTTTTCTGTGTAGAATGCAGTGGCGTAGTCAGACTTTTTTGGAAAAAAAATTTTTTTGAGATATTAACTATACTTCTGTTTTTTTTTTAAATAGAACCCTCTGTATATTTTTAAATTTCTTGATTCAGCTTGGCAAGGGCTTCTCGAAAACATATAACATTCTATATTTATTTTCACTATTAACCTCAACATTTCAAATTTTTCTTAAAATATCCAGTTAGTAAAGTAGGCCGCGCCGAGTAACAAAGTAAACGGTTGTCATGGTGATCGGTACATAGCTTTGAGAGATGCGTGACATTTCATTTCAACAGATTGAAGTATGTGTATTTTAAATAATAAAAAAATGAGTAAATTTGAAAATTTTGAGAAATATAACATGTTAGAATGTTATATTGAGTCTAACAAACATAAACAAATGGCAGCTGATTTATATTTTGAGCGGTATTTTAAGCGCGAGCAACCAAACCCAGCCATTTTTAAAAGGTCAGAAAATAGTTTAATCCTAGCCACCTAGGTCACCTGATATCACTCTCTTAAACTTCTTTCTCTGGGGCTTTCTGAAAAACGAAATTTATCGAAATGCAAATTTATTAGAAGAGTTACAAGATAGTTTTCTTGTGGCTTTGCAAAGTGTAACCAACATACACATTCGAAATACTGTTAGAGGCAGCATGTAGAGACGGTGCCAACTCTGTCTAGATAATGATGGACAGCAGTTTGAACATTTAATTTAGTCTTTGTGTTTTATTTTTTATATTAACTGAGAAGCCCGATTGAAGTAACCTGTTGAGTTTGTATTAAAATATGTTTTTTTGTTTCTGTCACACTTATTTT